GGCAAGGTGCAAGGAGCAAGATGCAAGGCAAGGCTCAAAGCAAGGCACAAAGGTGCAAGGCAAAAAAAAAAGGCAAAAAGGGCCAAAAAGGCAGAAAGCAGAAGGCTGCAAAAAGGAAGAAACTATACTATCCAGATAATGCTAATGTATTAGACTTCTTGGAATAGCTTAATTTATGGAAAGTTTACATGAAAATGACCATTGATTGATTGATTGATTGTCATCAAGTTGGTATTGAGTGTTAGCTAGCACCCTTATAAATACACTTTCTCCATTACTGAAGGAAAATTAATAACATATCCTAATTGGGTTTTTATCAAATATAGATGTGGTTTCGTGTGATACCAGAACTTCAACCAAAGATTGCTATGAAGAAGAAATAAACAAATGATTGTTAGATCTCAATTTTTGTAAACATAAATTCCAGCTATTAAAAACTCTTTTTTCTGCACATCTCCCAGTTTATAGCATTTGTATTTCAATAAAAGGAATATCTAATTATTCAATGTATGAATGTAATTCATTTTCATCTGATCCTTGTTATTATATTGCTTTCTTCCTCTATGAGTTTCACCATCTTGCTTGAGAAAAAGATCTTGGTAACTTATAAAGTTTACAAATATTTGGAATAATAGTTGACCCACAAAGATATTATTTACTATGGAATTTGATCTTTTCATTCTGATGGTTAAATATTTACACTTTTTGATCATAGGATGTCTTATTCCAACCCTTCCTACCCCAAATATGAGTCATTAAAAAACAGGAAAGGCAATAAGCTACCCAAATAAATTCATAAAAGATTTATGGAAATTTTTGATTTTTTTTCCCATCAGAGATTTTTAACACTCTCTCAGAATTCTATTTTCTCCTATTTTATGAACTATTAGTTTTCCTAGCTAAATGTTTCATTTCTTTGAAAGAAAATGATCCTAGCAATGAAAATGGGTGCAGCTTTTCATGGCTGAAAGTTTCATCCATGGTTTAATCTCTGAGAGAAAATGTATGTTGAAAATGGGACAAGAAAATGGGACCAGCTTTGAGCAATTTCTATGAAGTCTCAAACTTCTGAAATCCTTCCATAACAGATTGCATAGATATATATTTCTCTTCTGATTTCATGTTTGTTACACTAAGAGTCTTGTCAGGAACATGAAATTAGACTTCCTACAAAGTTTGGAAAATACACCAAATTTCATATATGCTAAGCAGTTTTATCTTCAATGCATGCTTTATTCTATATTATTTATTATTTTAAGTTATCAAAGCATTTTAGAAAGCTATTATGTTACCCTTTGTTACACTTACAAAAATAAATGGCATATGCTTGAGAACCATGGAAAATGTCAGTATTACCTGCATTGGATTCCAGGAATTAAAATACTTTATATGTGAAAACACAAAAAGGCAAATGATATTCTATCACTTAGAGGCCATGTTATAAAGCTAACAGCTCTAAAAGATGATGCTTAGTGCCTCATTTTTATAGAATTGACAACATTTACAATTATAAACTCTCCACAGTTCTCTGAGGGGACAACTGGGAATACAAAGTCTAACTGGTAAGGGTATTTTATGAGACTACCAATTCTAAGCAGGTGTTTTAAAAGAAAAAAAGCCATGGGGCATGTATTTCAGATTAACATAGTGATCTTATGGTCCTCAAAAGTGATCCAAAGGACATAGGTGTCAGGGCTGCAACAAATCCCCCTCATTCAAAGCAAAAGTCTCTAGCCCCATCTCAGAAAAAGTAAATTGGTTTTATTACAAATTGCCATGTTGGTGCATGGCTGGGTACAGCCAATGATTTGATTGTTGATTGTACCCTATGACTATCATTAAGTTGTTGTACGTTATGATTCTTGATTCTTAATGAATGTACCTTTTCTTTATGTATACTGAGAGTATTTATACCAAGACAAATTCCTTGTTTGTCCAATCACACTTGGCCAATAAAGAATTCTATTCTATTCTATTCTATTCTATTCTATTCTATTCTATTCTAT